TGAGGACCGAGCCCTGGGGGACCCCACTGCCCACATCCCTCCAGGTTGAATAAGACCCGTCCACCACCACCCTCTGGGTGCAGCCCTCCAGCCAGTTAGTGACCGATCTGACCGTGTAGGTATCAACACCACTGTCTCCTAGTTTCTTACTGAGAATGGGGTGAGAGACCGTGTTGAAGGCCTTCCTGAAGTCCAGAAAGACTATATCCACTGTGACACCTGCATCCAAGGACTTGGTGACCTGGTCATAGAAGGCCACCAGGTTGGTTTGACAAGACCTGCCCCTAATGAACCCATGCTGGTTGCCCCTGAGCATAACCTCCGCTGCTGGTCCTTCCTAGACATGTGCCAGGATAATTTTTTCAAAAAGCTTCCCCAGGACCGAGGTAAGACTCACGGGCCTATAGTTTCCTGGGCCCTCCTTCCTCCCTTTTTTGAAGATGGGAACCACATTGGCCCTTTTCCAGTCCTCCGGCACATCGCCCGAGTTGTCTCATTATAAAAGGCAATCAGGTTGGTCAGGCATGAGTTGCCCTTGGTGAATCCATGCTGAGTGTCTCCAAGTGCTTAGAAATGGATTTCTTGATGACCTGCTCCATGATTTTTACAGAGACTGAGGTGAGGCTGATTGGTCTGTTGTTCCCTGGATCCTTCTTCCCTTTCTTAAAGGTGGGTACTATATTTGCCCTTTTCCAATTGTCCAGGAGCTCCCCCCAATCACTATGAGTTTTCAAAGATACTACTGGCCAGTAGCTCTGCAATCATATCAGCCAGCTCTCTCAGTACCCTTGGATGCATCATATGTGGTCCCATGGACTTGTACACATCCAGGTTTTCTAAATAGTCCCTAACCTGTTCTTTCGCCACTGTTGGCAGCTCACCTTCTCCCCAGACTGCACTGCCTGGTGCAGTAGTCTGGGAGCTGACCTTGCCTGTGAAGACCAAGGTAAAAGAGGCATTGAGTACTTCAGCCATTTCCTCATTATCTGTCCCTAGGTTGCCTCCCCCATTCATTAAAGAACCCACACTTTCCCTTACCTTCCTCTTGTTGCTAACATACTTGTAAAAACCCTTCTTGTCACTCTTCATGTTCCTTGCTAGCTGCAACTCCAGTTGCACTTTGGCCTTCCTGATTTCATCCCTGCATGCCTGAGAAATAGTCTTATACTCCTCCCAAATTATCTGTCCAAGCTTCTTGTAAACTTCCTTTTTGTGTTTAAGCTCAGGAAAGAGTTCTCTGCTAAGCCAAGCTGGTCACCTGCCATATTTGATTTCTTCCTGCAATGTTTACCAGACATTCAAGGCTGGTGAAGAAAGTGGAATAATTGGAAATGGAAAAGAAAGGCATAGCTCAGCTGTGGGATTGAAGAGGAAGTCAAGATGTGTTTAGTGCAGTGGCTCACCCTGACTTAAAAGGAGTCAGCATTGTGGGGGGCTGAGCACAATCGGAATTACCACATATCTTATTCAGATGGGTTGTGCTAGCCTATTCTTGTGGTAGGGTCCTCTCAGTAGGTTTGCTCAATAGGGGCCCTGTGTTTTATACTCATGTTCGGTGCTGGCTGCATTTAATCAGCTTCATAGTTAGTTTCCATTACTAAGCACATACTGTTTTTAGCAGCAGTTTAATGATAGACAGTGTATTTAATGAGGTTTCCTTGTATGCAAATGTAAAACTAGGAGCTTTTTTGTCCACGTTGATGTGTGGGGGCTCATGTTATAATTGAGTAAATATTCTACCTTGGAAGTAGAGAAAAATGTTGACAATTGAACCTATTGTTTTTGTAACAATGTCTTCTTTCTGCTAATCACCTAATATGGGAGCAGAAAACCTGCCTACATTTGAAATTTCTTATTTGCTTTTAATGACGCATTGCCCTGCTTCGTACAATAATTCACACTGGCATCTTCATGCAATAGAGTGGTTCATTCCACATTCTATAGAAAAGTCATGACTCACCATTGTGCAATTCCTTTTAAATTGGTTTTCCTTTTATAGAATTGTCTCCTTAAAGGAGACATAAAGGGAAAAAGTATATTCTGGTAGCACAGAGGCTGAACTGGCATTTTGATCACTGTACATTTCATTCCTAAAAGCTGAAAACCCTGTTTGAGCTCCTAACCTGAACAAGATAAGGCACTTAAGATGATAGGGTATAGTGATAAATCCTTCACTTGCAGAGGAATGAACAAGATGACCTAACAGGTCTTTTCTGTCTCTTAATTTCTAAGTTTCAGTGACACATCAGGTTTTTGTTCCTTAACCTATTGTACCTATTGTGCTAAGAACATTCAAGGCAAAGAAGAAAACTCAGACGTTCCCTGTAGAAAACGAAAAGTCTTGCATTTGGTGTCTCAGTGGACTTCTCTCTACAAAGACTGGTTGCATGAAGATGAACATTTAAAACAATTTTTAAAGGTACTGTAATATTGATAAACTTTGCTGTGAGTCTTAAAACCCAAATTTCAAGAAAAACACAGAAATATAAAGCGTAAAATACCTTGTCCATTAATTTTCTTTATACCAGTCCAATGATTTCCATTTCAGTCCTTTGTCAGTGCTTTAGGGATAGTTTGTTGAGATTTAGAAATTTGTTGTGTGATGCCCTGAAAATAAACACTAAATCCAAACACCAAATTTAGTATAAGTTTCTGTATAAGTCTACTGGTCCTCTGAAGGAAGAAAATGGACGGGTAAGGAAACGTCTTAAGTATATCGATCATCTTTGTTAGCCCAGAACCTCCAGAAATCCGTATCCCAAATAACAAAGACTGTGACAGCATTTTGTTGTCCTTTCTCCAAGTTCTGCGTCAGCCAAAACCTGAAAACCTACTCTGTAGTCGAGGGGTGGCCAACCTGTGACACAGGTGCCACAAGAGGCATGGGCAGTCTCTGGCATGCAGACGATTGGGGAAGGGACAGACAGCACAGTAGCAGACAGGCCAGGGAATAGAAATCGGAGCATCCGATCAGGCAGGGAGCACAGAGCAGAAAGCGGAAAGCAGAGCAGTTGCTTGGGCAGGGAGCAGAAAGCAGAGCAGCAGATCAGGCAGGGGAAAGAGAGCCATCTGGGGACAGTAGAGGATTAATTTGACAGCATGCCTGCCAGAAAGGTTGGCCCCTACTGCTGCAGTATATGTCAGCTACAAATAAATAATCCAGTGGCTGCGTTATGCCTTTCTAGAAAATAAAACTGCACTTACTTACAAGCAAGGAACTACTGACCTCTCTGAATTAATTCTAAATGCAAAGGTACCTTGCTTGCAACTAAAATCAGACTGCTCAGATCTGTTTGTTTCCAGCTTCTGGTAGATGGAGGCAATTCTCAGGGAAAAGTGCCTCAGATCCCTCTCTTTTCCTAATGAATGACTCTTTACCCTTACTGGGGCACCTTCTTTGTCATGTGTGGTTCACATCTGGTCATCTTAAGAACTTTCAGAGCCAGTTTCAGGCTTCTCCGCTGTTTGAATACCTTGTGGTTGGTGCATTGCATATGAATGCAGGGAGTCTGGGGCTCCTGCCCAGGGGGCATCATATGTATAATACCATATTAGAAGTTGGGTTCAGTTATATCAGTAGTGCTCAGCCTGTGGAGATGTCTCACTCTGCCTGTGGGGCACCCTACTAGGCCTGTGCAAAGCAGCTAGTATTCGCTTCGGATTTGGATTCAGCCGAATCGGAGGACAGTGATTCAATTCGGTGATTCATATCACTGTACTGAACTGATTCGGCCGCCACCTAATCAGCTGAATCTCTGAATCAAACAGTGCCCCACCCCCCACCCATTCTCCCAGCCCGGTCAATGGCTGCCCGGTCTGACCCCAGTGTCCTGGCTCTTTAAAAAAAACAAACAAAAAAAACCCCACGCTCACCAGCTCCTGCCAGGTGGGGGGGAGGGGTGGAGAGGGGTGGGGTGATCCCCACTGCCCCGCGCTGCGTGGGGGGATCTGCCACGAACCCCCAGAAGCCTGGACGGCTGCTGCAGCAGCCAGCAAGCGTGGGGTTTTTTTGGTTTCTTTAAAGAGATGGGATGCTGGGGCTGGGCAGGGCAACCATTGCTGGGGCTGGGAGAGTGGGCAGGGGTCGGAAGGTACTCAGGGGACCTGGTGGAGCAGGCAGGGGATGGGGCCTGGTAGGGATCCTCCCATGGTCCCTTCCCCCTCCCTCCCTCCATCCCCCTCCTTCCTCCGCCTCTTACTTACCAGCACAGAGTCTGGGTCCAGCTCCCAGCAGTTGCGAGCAGGGACTGCCCAAATCTCTGAATCTTTTCCAAATCAGTTTCGACCTTTTTATTGGTCTCCCAATTTGATTCGGTGATTCGGCCACTGAATTGGGCTGAATCTCCACCAGATTGAATCTGCACCTGAAGCTTCGCACAGCCTTACTCCCTAGGGGCTGGACATTTATCACCAAAGGAGCAGTGACAGTGTTGATTGCTGCAGCCAATCCCAGAGTCCCAGCATTTAGTACTACCACCATTCACTCACCACCAAGTTCCCGGACCTGTGGGGAGCCTCAGTCTGGAATGATGTGTCCCTGTGTGTTGGATTGTGCCAGTGCATGGGGTTGGTCTGCAGCTGGATCTGACGTGAAGCTGGGTTGGAGTGCTTAATCACAGTCAGAAACTTCCCCCATGCTCCAGCCCTTTGCTGGATCAAGTCTGAGGACCTCCTCTGCCGCACAAAATGGTCCACAGACTGGCCCAGTGCTTGCAGGACGGAATAGGTTGAGCACCATTAAAACATATCAAATGTATACTGAGGTTTTGCTAAATTTATTCATATATTATAAGCTGTCTGGGACAGTACCTGCCCTTTAGTGCAGTCTTTGTATGTGGTATGCACTTTGGTCCCCAATTCCTAATTGTGGCCTCTAGGTACTACTATAATAAAAATAGTAATAACAAAAATAACAACAGCAACGACAATAATAATGTTTATCTGACTTGAATTGCACCTACAAAAACCAGTGCCTGAAATTTGAAATCCAAAATTTATTTGTCGCACATTTTGTGGATACATAAATGGAAGCCTGACTAAAAGTGGGCAGATAACTAGGTCTTCAGCATATGATTTCCATTTGTTGGCAAGGGGGAGCTATATCTAAACCTCTGGACCTATATAGATGATCAAAGAGATACTGTTTGCTGTAATGATTTCAGGCATCAAAGCCAATATAATCTGTTTACCTTTATATCTGAGGGCAAGTGTCTTGTATAATTAGCTGAAGTTCTCAAAGGAGTTTGAATAACGATATGAAGGAAGTTGAAAAAGGAAGAATATAAGATTTATTTGTTCATTAATTTAAGACTATGATCATTCTGTCATTTGTGTATGAGAGAGTTTGGGGCTGGTATAATTTGCTTTTTGCATTTGCGTAAACTAAATTATAAGATCCCTAACTTTAATAGGAATGTTATTGTTTTGAGGGATGATGGATGGAGTGATTTTATCTTCATGCTTAATAATATATCCTTATCAGCCAAACCAGTATGGACATGGCATATTCCAGATACTTAAATGGAAACGTGCTGTATTTTTATAGGATAATTTTAGATTTGATGGAAGCTCTTCCTATAATGTATACAATATTAATGTTTCAGTCATTATATGTTTGTTAATCTTGGTTTCATGTTGTAGACAATATACAGGAATGTGTTAGATGATGTGTATGAATATCCCATACTTGAGAAGGAACTGAAAGAATTTCAAAAGATACTTGGAACGCATCGTCGTCAGTAAGTAATGCTTTTTTGGTTAGTCCTTCTTTATGTATTGTTTTGTAATTTTATAGCACTTGGCGAAAAGACAAAAGATTAAATAGAGCATCTCCAATACAAGGAAGTAGACATTTTTGTTTGCAGTAATAATCTTTGTTTTTACATGAGGCCAGTTAGTTCATCTTTTCTCACATTGGTTGGGTAGTCTCTTTCCCCACAATTGCTCCCATTGATTTCAGTGAGATATCTTGCAGACTAAAGTTGAGCAAACTGGAAAAATTTGGGTGTAAACTAGTAATCTATGACTTTAAGTGACAGTATATACTACGGTATAAAATGTATAGTGTTGTGTGCAGCGGGAGGGGCTTTGACTGGCCAGTGCTTATTGCTAGGAGTGGTAGCAAGTCTCTACAGCATCAAACTAGACCATGGCATTCATTTCCACTTCAAATTATGTGACTATATGCATGGTTTTAATAATGTAAAAGCAAATAGTTAGTTACTCTTGTCAGTTAAGAAAGTTCTATTTTGCAATCACCCAGTCCTTGGAACTTTCATAATTCCATGTAATTAGAAGAGGCCTGCAACATAGCTCCCATTCAAAAGCTGTGCAGTCAGTGGCTATATGGAGTATCCTAATCTTCCCAGGATTTGTTACATTCCTATAATTGGGTATGCTTGGTAAATTGGTGTCAGCGGGCATTTTTACACATGTAAGTGCTGCAATGCTGGGCACTTTGAAAAGCGCCTGTTGCTGCACCACATACAAGTGTATAAGTGGTGAAATGCACGTGAGTGTTGAGAAAATGGTGGTGGTGCACATAGGTGTTTTAGTTCAATAGTGCATTGCCACCATTTTCTGAGTGCTGACGTGCATCTCGCTGCTTATACAACTGCATGTAGCACAGCACGGTTTGCATCAGCTTGTGGGTGGAGTAGACTTAATTAATCAAATCTGCTCCAAAGCGGCAGATCTCCAGCATGTCACGGGACAAAAAGGTATGTGTATAAATGCCCAGTAGGTCTGAGGTTGCCTAATGGGCTTTTCTACCCATAGAGTTATTCAGGAACAGCCTAAATATCTGCACTTGCAGATACCATTATTTCAGAAAAAGAGCAACCTGCTTCTAGTCAGCCTGATCTGAGGGGAAGTATGAGCAAAGAATAGTGTCCACATGGAATAATACAAGAATGGCTGGTCCTGAATAAGTTCATGGGCAGACAAGCCTGTCATGAATATGAGTGCCTGAGGTTAAGGGAGATTAACTTACACTATTTTACATATCAGTTCTCATCTTGGCCCAAAACGTCAGGGACAGAAATGGAAATGAGTCTCAGAACTCTTGGCACCTAGTGTTTCTGAGCTGACCCCTGGGACCTGCTTTTTCCTATGCTTGCACATTAAAGTGTAAATATTTCCTGCAAACCAAATTATCAAGAACTCTGCATGTACATATTTGGACAGATGATACTTTTTGTCATTAAAAAGAGCCAGGATATCACCTGATGTAAATCAGCATGATACCATTAGCTTATTTTTTTACCAACTGAAGATCTGGGCCCAAGGCTTTTAGTGCAGCAGGTTAGGGATGTTCCTATGAAATGCTTACTATTTTTAGGTATCTGGCTCCCACTGAAGGAATTTTGCACTCAGTAGTGACTATGTGATGCTATAAATTCTCTGATGGTTGTAATTGCTTTTTGTCATCTTTGGAAAGAAACTAATTTGAATTCTCCCTTTTTGTTTCAGCACTGTAGATGAATATTCGCCTCATAGAAAGGTAATGCAGAGCCCATATATCTTATTAGCGTAGTAGCTTAGAACCTCCACTCCCCTCACTTAGCTCTTCTCCTTAATTAAAAATGACTAGCAACTAAAAACATGACAGGATCCATCATTGAGTCTAGACCCACAATGTTGCTAAAAGACTTTTTTTTTTCCTGCCAGTGCAGCTCTGGTTTCAGCCATGTGGGTTAACCAAAGGTGGCTGCAACATTATCATTTGGAGAAGTCAGAATTCAATAAGAGCCAGCAGCATGCCCCTGCCTGGCTGGATAAGTTTGAATTCAAGTAGATCTTGGCAAACAAATGTGAGCAAAGACATTGACTGCTGATGTCAGGTAGTCAATCAAAGTAAAAGGGCTTGTGGCGTGACAGGGACACAGAAAGAAAGAAACATGCATTTGTGCCTATTTAACTAGAGGGAAGAGATATAAAAGGGGATGTCAACATAAGAGTTACATGGAAACAAATTGCTTTGCTCATGAAATTCACCAGATGGAAGCCGAAGTGTGTAATACACTTAAAAATGTTACTGTGGAAGTGTAGAAGGCAGAAAATGAGATTGTAGTGAAATTGCTAAGTAGGCCAATTGACTAGTTATTTAGGACAGTTTGTAAGAGATGAACTATGAACATGATTACAGAGTCCCCTGAAATGTGCACATTGCTGAGCCTAGACGTGTCTCACTTCCTCAGAATTCCCCATCTCTGTTGTTATTAAACAAGGCAACTCCCAGTTCACTTATCCAAGAATGGATGGGTGGATTTCCTACAAAAGTGTTTTGGCCAGATTTACATAAGGCATACTACACATAGTTATTGCTTTTTGAAGGGCGGGAGCACATACATTCATTGTTCTTTTTTTTTTTCCCAACCCCTCATAGAATAAAGCCTTTTTCCACCAATTCAGTCTCAAAGAGAACTGGCTCCAGCACAGAGGAACTGTGAATGAAACAGAGGAAAGTAAGTATGATTTAAGGGTAGTGGAGGAAAAGCTCAGTACAACGCCTCTAAACATCGGTACAAGCGTATTTCTACAAAAAGCCTGCCCTTAAGGTATATTTTCAATTACAAACTCACAGCTTTTGAACAAGAACCTAGAGCCACAAGGAAAGAAAGATCTGATGCTGCAAGAATGTGTTTCTTTCTCATGATTTATGTAGGGCTTCGTCAGTAAAATGAAGTCTCAGGGGCTCTTTTATTTTATTTTAGCATCAGTTCTTCCAGTGTGTGGCTCTCAGTGGCAGAAGAGTGGATCTTATTTCCTGGCCTCAGTTACCTGACATACAGGCAGCTTGCAAAAGGTTAATGCCCTTGTCACGTGAGATGAGTCAAAATCTACTGATTTCCAGTAGCCACTGTTATAACCTTCTCTTTTCCAACACTGCAGATGGAATGCAATATGCCACTTCATTTTAATGTCATCCATTATGAAATGCAATTCACTTTCATTGCTGGTAATGCAGTAATAAAGTGAAACAGCCACAATCCTATAATGCATTGGCAGTTTTAAGGGAAGGAGGGGGGAGAGAGGACTTGTGTTAACTGGAGCATAGGCAGAGACACTAGAGTCATGCACTTAAACAGAGAGCAACCTGAGAGACAGTCTACTTGGGACCCTCTCACTTAAATAAATCACTCCTAGTATATACTGCTAGTTCATAGATTCTAGGGTCGGATGTGACCTCAGTGAGGCATCTAGTCTGACCCTCTGCCCGTGGCTGGCAAGAAATCCAAACCTGGGATCATGTGATTCCAGCCAGGTGCCTGTCAGATCATGGGCAAGTAATGACCATCATAACTATCTTTTAAATATTAAGGGGAGTATTTTTCTGTCATGCACTCAAAGGTTACCCTGTGTTATCCACCTTCAGTCTTTTGGTTTGTCATATAGGTTTATTGGTGTTTCAAATCGTTAAAAAGACTGAATGCAATCCTCACTCCTGTTCTGGCCCCTTTATGACATAAAAATCCTAGAGTGGTGCCAAGCCACTCTGAGAGCTCCACTTCTGTCTTCTCTCCATCAAGATAGGAACTGAGTCAGAGAGCCATAAGTGCACCTCCTCAGGGCCTTAGTGCACTAAGTATGTCAGGGACAGAATGGGTGTCAAGCGGTAGACAAAATATAGTGATATGGAGATTTTAGGTAGTTCTTTGAGCACTAGGGCAGCCCAAAGAGGCTGCTGCTGCAACTGGTAGACCTCTAGTGCAGCCTATAACATGCTGTAGGTCTCAGCCCTGGGAGAGTCCAGGATTTTGGTGGTGGGTGGGGGTGTTGGGGGAGATGCCAAAGTGGCTTAAAGCCAAATTGGTTCACATCTCTCTTCTTCTGGTTCTAAGTGTTATTCTACACCTCTGAATGTCAGGAATTTGTGGTTCATGGCAATAATGATCACAGATCTGCTATTTATAACAAGTTGGGGAAAGGGAGTTCCAGCAGGCTGTAAAACTGACAGTGCTTGAGCAACTGACCTCCAGGCCGCTCCAATTCCATTTAAAACAAGGGACATGTATGCCAGTTTTTTCCCTTTGTTTTTGTGAGGTTTTTTTAATAGTGCATTTGCTATTTTTTCCCCTCCCTAAATGGCTGAGAAGCCTGGAAGAAAGGAGGTCATTTCTGCCAAAAGGAAAACCAGTGGTTTTCCTAGTGAACATTGTAGGCAGGTCATATCTTACTCCTCAGAAAGAAACAGAAACCAAGTTTTTCTGTCAGTTCCTTTTATTCTTTCATAGTTGGTAGTCTGACATGCAGTCTGACATGTGTACCTTTTCATGACTTTCATACATTCTGAGAGGAGATGCTGCCCACAGGCTGAACACCTTATTTACTGTCTGTCAACACACACAGGCTAGCATGAATTCTTAAATCAACTGACACGGGATTTTTTTTAAGCCTAAGGTTTCTTCTCCTCCTCCATCTCTTTTTCCTTCACTTGAAAACAAATACCAATAGGGATGTTTCTCTATTAAACAATGCATACAGGCATAGCTCTGTCCCTGTCCCACAAACCTTTTGACTTTAAAACCCTTTTATTAATACATACAGTATTAGATGACACTAGTAAGCCACTGTAGCCTAAACATGAAGAAATCATTTCTGAAGGAGAGAATGAATTGTTTCCCTTTTTTTCTGTTGCAGCCTGTCTGCAGGAAAAAAAAGACTAAATTGTAGGTAAATGAAATGTTTAATGAAGTGAGTACAAAATAAGACCCCTCTGGTGGTGATCTCATTGACAGATGCTGTCAGTTTTGAGATACTGATTATACACGTCTGCTGCTAAATTTACTTTCTTACATTCTACCACGTGACTAGGTAAGATTAGCTCTGTGACAAACTAGAAAGCTGAAATTCTGTGAAAGCTCATTATTTTTGTAGAAGAAACAAAGACTGAACCAATAGATGGGCATCATTTTAGGGTCTGTTATTGAGAGTTCTGAGTGGCCAAATCTCTTATTTTACTCAATGTTCAGTAATAAACACTAAAGTTTAGTCTTTGTTTCTGTCACAACCCAGTGATTTTGGTGCCTCGGCACGATGGAATTTTCCCGCCACATGAGAGCCTCTTGCACAGCAAAAGGTTTTTGTT